CTCTAGCCACCTAGTAGACATAACAAACTGTCCCTCATCTGATTATTCAGTAATGCTTGTTAGTAATCTCATACATGAGCCCTGGATATCCACAGACAAATGTAAAAACCTCCCCTAAAAGCCGAGACTGTAAATTCCAATAAGCCAAGTCCCCCCCCATCCAAAAAAAAAAAAAGCTAAAGAGGATAGAGAGAAACACTGTAAACTAATGATATATAGCGGGGATAATAATCAATGTAATGAAACAAGCTATATGAATGGTTGAATGTGAAGCTGATGATGTGCCCTGTAAACTTTCACTCAATGCAAAATAAAAACATTTAATTAAAAAAAAAAAAAAAAGAAATACACTTGTAGCAATATTTTATATACATACTTAGTTCCTTATAATAAACTAATAAAAGAATTGTATTAAAGTGCTAGTACCCCAATTTTTATTATATAATATGGTCTCATATTTAGTGGTACAAGTCTTTTACTGTTAATCACAATTTTAGTTCCAGGTTACCTCTAGCATCATTTTGTCAAATTACAGGAAATCCCTAAGTGGAATTGTATAAAAAGAAGTACATCAATTATTTCTACTTAGCATGGTCTTACTCCCATTAAATGTGGTAAAAGCAAATACTTTATGGTACAGTATTTGTTTCTCATCTAAGAGCATGGTATAGTTTCTTGTTTTCTTTGATCTCTATCAGTATTTATATAGCCTCCTTCATTTAAGTCTGGAGTCTTTCTTTTGAATTATTATAATTTAACAGTATTTTTATGTTATTGTTATAGTAACTATTAGGTGGTAGTTGTTATGTGTCATAGAGTTGATTCCAACTCACAGTGACCTTCCTGAAACCCTATAGGGTTTCCCAGGCTGTAAATCTTTACAGGAGCAAAAAGCCTCATCTTTCTCCCACAGAACAGCTGGTAGTTTCGAACTGCTAAACCTTGAGGTTAGCAAGCTGATTCATAACTCATTACGCTACCAGAGCTCCTCAGCTATTAGGTATTTGACTATTTTTTCATTAGCTTTTCTAATTGGTTATTACAGGTTCTATAAGGGAGCTGAATGTGTTAGGAGTTCTAGTAGCATAGTAGTTATGAGTCAGGCTGCTAATCTCAGTCAGCAGTTTGAAACTACCAGCGGTTTCATGGGAGAAAGATGAGTCTTTCTGTTCCCATAAAGGTTTACAGCCTTGGAAACCCTATAGGGTTGCTAGGAGCTGGAACTGACTCCACAGCACATAACCACCACCATGTGTATGGGTATTTATTTGTTAAGTAGAACCCTAACCTTCTAGTTGAATCTTGAATTTTTGAGGTAGGTAATTATTTCCAAATTAGCTTTTTCTCTTCTTTTTTCAGTAATTGTTTGCTGTTTTCTTTTTCTTGTCTTAGGCTATTGACTAGAACGCTTAAGTGATTTAATATAATAGTGAAGATAGAAGTAAAATAGAGGAGCACAATGATGTCTATTAAGCATGTTCTCTTGTAATTTGACCAGAAAGATTCGAAAGTTCCTTTACAAGTAAAAGGGGGACAAGAAAAGATTATCTGAATTGCTAGATATTAGAACTTATTTTACACACTAACACTCTGATATTGACATTTTAAAAAATATCATATAACTCTGATTCTATTATTGAATACTCCACCCAAACTCCCTGGAGTCCTGATGTGGCACTGTGGGTTAATGCACTGGACTGAAGTCAGTTTGAACCATAAAGGTCAGCTGTTTAATCTCACCAGCTGCTCCTCAGAAACCCTATACAGGGTCGCTATGGGTCAGAATTGACTTGATGGCACTTAACAACAACAACAATCCAAACCCCCAGAAATCAAGTTAAATATTATCAAATTTTTTACTTCATTTAGTATGATCATATTTTTTTTTCTTCTGTGGTGATGTACCTGTTACAATCATTTCCTATTTTTAACCTTCTGTCCATTCTGGAAGAACTCATACTTTGGTCTTAAAAAATACTTGCAAAACAGTATGATTTATGCTACAATTTTCAGATGTTTGCATTTGCCTTCAAAGGGATGGTTAGTCTCTAGCAATCTCTCGTTTTGTTGTTTTTTTTTCAGTATTACCAAGGTTCACTTTCAGTATTTGCAATGAAGGTGTCTTGGAAAGCTTTTCTTTTGCTTTATAAACAAATGGACTAATAGAATTGAGTGGAACTGTTGTAGTGTTTAAGGAACTCTAGTAGCATAGTGGTTACGAGTTGAGCCGATAACTTCAAAGGTCGGCAGTTCGAAACTACCAGCTGTACCTAGAGAGAAAGATGAGGCCTTTTGCTTCCCTAAAGATTTACAGCCTTGGAAACCCTGTACAGGCCACGATGAGTCAGCAGTGACTCCCCGACACATGCACCAATGTAGTGTTTGTCCCTTTCCCAGACACTGTCTGGTAGGAAAGGGCCACCATAGGATTGAATGTGAATGTGTTGTAAGCATCACTTGCTAATTGACAAAGAGTCCCAAGATTGTTTGACACATGATGAATGTGCTTTGCATATTTAATCTTCTTCATGAAATCCCAGAGAAAATATCAGTCCTGGCACTAATGATGACAAATGAGCTTGTACTCATAAAGTGCTCTTATTCCCAGGAGCTCAAAACTCTCCATGATTAATTATTTCAGTCATCCTCACAGTTGTCCCATGAGGTAGGTAGCTGAGTGCTTCCTCTTTAAAAAAAAAGGATAGCTAATTGGATTTTCTTCTTCTATTTTACGCTCTCCATTCTATGTTCTAGAACCCTCTAAAGACTATGTGTATGTCCAGCGGTAAAACTGTGCTTCAAAAATTACATGCTTCTTCCACGTATGAACACCAGGCTCGGAGTAAATGTGGACTAGTAAGGTTGGCGGGAATTTTGATGATAGTTTGGCAAAATGCCATGAGTGGTTTAGCCTAAAGTTGGTAGTTTCGCAATGGCTGAACGTGTGATTTGGTACCTCCATTAGGACAGGTAGTCCAAGGTTTGATATGACAATATCTCCTTACTAAGTAAGGTGCCTCTTTGTCACATTTTCCTATAAGCTTGTACTAGTGATTTGTCCTACAGAAAATATCCACTAATCCTGTTTTACAGAGAGGTCAATTGGTCTTTTCTCATCCTGCTGCGGTGTAAGTAAGCTTTCAAAAGGACAAGAGAAAGGTGAAATGTCTAAAGTTCTCACAAACAACTTCTAGCTGCTGCTCATCTCCTGGCTTCTCCTCTTCCAGTGATCCTCCATTCCATATCCCTGCCATGCCAACTTTCCTCATGTTTCTCTTCCTCAGAAATGGACCGTGCTGTTCCATGTATACATCTTGTCAGGAGAGCAGAGATAAGTTACGATTAAATTAAACTTCCATTCTTATCTAGTGATCACCTCATCCTTTTCCTTCCTTTCATAATATGCTTTTCAATCTTCTCCAATAGTTTAATTGTGTAAGTTCTGTCTCTCCAGTTAGTCTGCAAGCACTTTGAATAAATATTCAGGTCACATCTTTTTAAAAAAAAAATACCGTCTAATTCCCTTCACATATTCTTCAGCACTGGGGTGTTTAGGTGCTCAGTAAACACCTGTGGTTGGACTACTTGCCACCCATAACTGTAAACAAATATTGCCTGTACATAGCAACTGTGACTTTTTTTTTTTTTTTTTGCAACTGTGACATTTTAACTTTTTCTTTTTCCTTTCATTTAATAAAAGCTTAACTGTCACCACTTTGAGTTTTCCCTCCCTCTTATTTTTTGCTTGAAGTTAGCCTAAAAGGAGGCAGTGGAGGGGCTTTAAAATGGGAAGCATTATGCTTAAGTTGTGCAGAGTATTCAGGGTAGGGACTAATTATGAGGTTTGAAAACCTCTTCAGGTAGCTGGATTCCTTAGCAGGACTAAAATACTGCTTTCCTAAATTGAGAACAGCTGGGGGAGGGGGGGGGTGTTGCCAGTAAGCATAAAAGAGTGGATGGTGGTGCTCTGTGTTATAAAGAAATCTTTGCTCTTGGAGCCTCTGGAGCCTCCGCTGAAGGCACCCTTTTCCTAGGCAGTATTGTGGTAAGTGCTGTACGCTGGTCCTCTAGAGGCCAGTTTCTGTTGCTTGGTAGAAATCAAGGTGATTCACCACTATCAGAATGTTGTTACTAACTTTCCATTTCAATGGTAGTAAACTATTTGATCATTTAAGTAACAAATTCTTCTTGGAACCAAATGAGACATAGCTAAAACTTTGTGTACAATTATCCCCAGTATTATCTTGAAGACTTTCCATTCTCCTTAGGTCTGATGTGCATCTATGAATATAAAAGTATAAACTGAGGGAGGAGGGTCCTTTTAAATATCTTGAATGTCTAGTCTTTACGTGAACGTGTTCTTAAAATGACTAGCGTTGTTATAATAAAATAGACATTTGACAGTGTTGAAAATTTTAGGATAGTAGTTACTCCTGGTATGGTGCTAAGGGATAAGCAATGGACTGCTAACCTCAAGTTCAGCGGTTCAAACCCACCAGTTGCTCCTTGGAAACCCTATACAGGATCATTAGGAGTCAGAACCTACTTGACCACATTAAGCAGCAGCAATAATTATTGAATGCATAAAGCAGCTCATCCCAGTTTTTTCTCTTTGAGATTCATTAAAATGCTGCAGTGTTGGGAAGGAATGATGCAAACTATGGATAGGTTCTAACTCATTGTGACTTCATGGTTAGCAACAAGTAATTGTGTCTGATGAAATGTATGAGGTGATGGGTCATTACTTTTAAAGGGAATTGGTTATTAGAATGTTCCTATTTATATTGACATCAGCCCAAAAAGACAAGAATTCCAAGATAAAACAATTCAATATTTCATAAATAAACTTAATCTCAGCATCTTTCACTTTGTTCTGATGATACATTTGTGAAGTGAATGCCTTTGGTATTTCTTTCCTTATTTTGACAGTGTTATTGGTTTAGATGGTTGACCATCAGACAAACTTATTTTCTGAACATAGTTTTGTGTTGTTTTTGCAGGTGGGATAGTAACATCTTTTTGGACAAAGAGAATTGCCTTCCTTTCCTGAAAGTGGCAAATGTACAAGAGATAGCTGCATAGGAGGAACCGTATTCAGATGGCTGACTTTCTACATTTTGTATTAGAAAGCAAAATCGGTTGATCTTGGAAAAAGAAGATATTAAAAAATTTACATTTCCATCACGAATAAGAGCTTGACCGTCTACGTTTTTCATCTGAAGACCAGAGAACAATGGATATCATAGAGACAGCCAAACTTGAAGAACATATGGAAAATCAAACCAGTGACCCTACAAACACGTACACAAGACCCGCTGAACCTGTTGAAGAAGAAAATAAAAATGGCAATGGTAAACCTAAGAGCTTATCCAATGGGTTACGAAAGGGTACCAAAAAGTACCCAGACTACATCCAAATTGCAATGCCCACTGAATCGAGGAACAGATTTCCCCTAGAGTGGTGGAAAACAGGCATTGCCTTTGTGTACGCTCTCTTCAATCTGGTCTTGACAACTGTCATGATCACAGTTGTACATGAAAGGGTCCCTCCTAAGGAGCTCAGCCCTCCACTCCCAGACAAGTTTTTTGATTACATTGACCGGGTGAAATGGGCATTTTCTGTATCAGAAATAAATGGGATTATATTAGTTGGATTGTGGATCACCCAGTGGCTGTTTCTGAGATACAAGTAAGTGAGTCTAATATATGTTTGGGGCAGGGGTAGTTTCTGTTGCGTGAGGGGGGCTTCAAAAAGTTTGTGGGAAAATCCTATTTTCATTCCATTTTTCCACAAACTTTTTGAAGCCCCTCTTATGATTAAAATTCTCTTTCTCAGTTTTATCTAATAAAGTCAGTCTCATTGAGGTATTTGATGAAAGGAAGGAAGTAAGCAGCAGAAAAGTCTACCACATGGAAGAAATTCAGTCAGTATTCAATAAGTGTTTATTTGAGCAACTGTGGTTGAAAGTGGCAAATGTTATGGTGGGTAATTCCGAGTTTATGAATTAAAGGTGCAACTTCTGATTATAAACACTTTATGTGATGATATCTATATGATACATCAAAAGCTTTGAAAAGGAATAACTTTCACTTTATCATGCTTGTTTTATTTCAGGCTCTTGACAGACAGGGAAGTGGTAAGGCAGGAAGCTATTTTCCCCATTACTCATAACGTGTTGACTATGTTGGTCTGTAGTCAATAGCATACTTTAAGGTTTGCCTCTGTTCTGGAGGTCTCAAATTTTACCTTTTCCCGATTGGCAGTCCAGTCACCAAAGTTTGCTTAAGCAACTGAATTTAGATAGGTCCATGCAGTTTGGGTTTTAGATTTCTCAAGGAAACATGCTTTCTGTTTTTCCCATGGCACCACAAAGACACTCTTAGTTCACTGGTTGCAGGCTCCCCAATTTGGAATAGTAGGAATCATGAAGTAGTAGGTCAGGTATTTTGATTTTGAAGACATTGGAAAATTGAAGAGCTCTCACTGAAGTGATTGTTAATGCTTCCCTGTGTGAATTCTGACTGCTGATTTCCCTCTCCACCCCCTCAAAAAAGGAAAAGAAATCCCCTTAGTTTCCCTTTTCGTCTCGTTCTTTACTTGAATGTTTGTACTTCACTGAGATTTTAGTAATTAAATCAAGTAAAATGTAAGTTTGAGCTTTGAAACTTTTAAGAGTCCATGTTGATCTTTGAACTAGAAGGATTAAAAAATGTTAAGTTTCCACAGAGAATAAGAGCTTGATGTTCTCATCTTTTATCTGAAGAGCAGGGGACAATGGGCATCATAAAAACAGCAAAACTTACTCAATACAGTTAAGAAAATTCAAAATCACATGGAATTTTATTATGAGTGTCAAAACCATTGTAGAAGAGACAATATATGCCACGTTGTTGTTGTTGTTGTTTTCCATTTGGTCGTGACTTTAGGAACATTTGTCTTTGTTAAATCCAAAACCAAACACACTTCCACTGAGTCAATTTCAACTCATATCGACCCTATCTAGAAGAGTATGATTCTTTGCTAAAGAGTTCCCCAGATGCAGCCATGCAGTTCTAAAAACGTATTCCAAAAGCTGAAGTCATTCCTAAGTATTTTCCTTAATATACATCGAATGTTGTTCATTGTTCTCAATTGTCTTTTATGTAGCATGTTTTATGCTAAAAACAAAATACATTTGTTATACTTTAGTGTGTTTTTTTTTAGTGTGTGGAATTGACAGTGAGTATAAGAAAGCCTGCTTTGGCCACAGATTTGCTGTCTCCTTTAATTTTTTTCATTATTATTGTTAAAAGGAGCTGTGGTAGCCTAGTGGTTATGAATTGGACTGCTAACCTCAGGGTCAACAGTTCAAAACTACTAGCCATTCCATGGGAAAAAGAGGAGACTTTCTGCTCCGATAAATATTTACAGGCTGGGAAACCCTATGCAGGATCACTGTGAGTTGGAACAGACTCCATGGTATATAACCAACAAACCGACAATTGTTAAATGCTGTGGAGTTCCAATTCATAGTGACCGTGTATAATGTTTACAAGGAGCAGCTAGTGGGTTTGAGCCACTGACTTTATGGTTAGCAGTCTGATGCTTATCCTACAGCAAAAAGAGAGATCATTCAGGGTCCCTACACTGAAGTTCACTCTTCATCTCAGTTTATTTACTCTTCATCTAGATATTTGTTGTGAATTATCTCTCCTTTACTACCTTAAATTTGAACATCAAAGCACATGATTCTATAACTGGGCCACCCATTTTAATGATGTTTCAGTCACAACTCAGCATACAAAACGTGTGTGTGGGATAGCGGGGAGGCTTGGCGTGTGATGACAACACTAATTTGCCCTTTTACTTTTGAGTTAGAATTGGATCTTACATTTTAGTAATCAGTGGAATAGTCTTTGCTGTTTGTTTTGAACATCTCAGCTAAATAGGAAGCCCTGCTCCCTTCTCCCCCATTTTTTCCCAAGCCGTTTTCAAAGCTAGGGAAATAAAATCATCAACAGTAGTTCTTTTTCTAAATAAGGCTTCAGTATGCATGTTTCACCTTCTAAGTGAATGTTTTGTTCTGTGTTTAGCTGTACTTGAAAGGTTGGAATGAATATATTTGACTCATAATAATTCCTACTCATTACTTCACCTTGTCTAACAACATGAAGCAACATCCAAAACAGAACTCTTTGAGGTCTGGGGTTGAATCAGATGTGGAATCATAGTTCATTTAACTAAGGGGAGACACTGTTAATAATTATCCATTACTTTACCAGAAGAAGCAGAACTGAAATAGAAAGCCTTTGAACAAAATAACCTTGGATAAAATCAGTAGTTTCATATGCCAGTCTAGGTGGTGGTCCTGTATTTTGACCCTAGAAACTCTGTGAAGTACTTGTTGTTGTTAAGTGCACTCATAGTGACCCTGTATAGGGTTCCCAAGGAGTGGCTGGTGAGCTTGAAATGCCAGCCTTGCAGTTAGCAGTCTAGTGCTTATCCTACAACACCACACAGTAAAAAAAAGACGAAGAACTGCAATGCAATGGATAGATACAGTGTCTGCAACAGTGGGCTCAAATATAATAATGATTAGGAGGAGGATGCAGGACCGGGTAATGTTTCGTTCTGTTGTTCATCAGTTGCTGTGAGTCAGAACTGACTCAATGGCATGTAACACAATAACCACCAAAAGAGAATTACAACTATTAGCCCTAGGGCTTTACAGGACCTCTAAGGTACCACTCAGCTCTTAAATTTCTAGAGCCCAGAGCTTAGAGACCTGTCCTCAAATACACAGGAGAAAAGGAGTTTTTCGTTGTCATTTGGAAGTGAGAACACTCAGAACACTCCGTGACTATCGGGAGTGGTACAGTGAACAGAGGCCCTCCGTTTGGAGAGCTGTGTACTCAAACAACTAGAACCCCTGCCTTAGGTCATGAAGGAAAAGGACCAATATTGGCCAAGTATATATCTCTCTCCACAAAAAATATGAAGTTAAAAGGTACTTGTGGGGGTTTTTGTTGGTGGTACTGTGGCCTTTTTTGATCAAGGTTGAGTAAAATCAGTAAAACAGTTTATAGTTCACTATCCTTAACTATATAAGGACAGTTTGGACGTCTTCACAATTTAATTCCCTGAAAATCTTGTTAGTCATAGAGGAATATTATCTGTGCCCAAGTTGTTTAGATACCTTTGGATAGTCCCCAAATAAACCTTGCTTATATAACGTAGGTTAAATGAGTTTGTCACATTTTCCTATGTGTCCAATTATGTAGTACCACCTAGTTCATTAGTTAATTCCTCTGTGACCATGACTGACTTTGATATGTTCCCAAGAGAGGGTTTCGTTAAATGCAGTGAGTGACTACAAATGGAGCTCATTGAATTATCTGGCAAAGAGTGCCTCTTTTAGGAGAAGCAGTCTTTCTAGAGCCTTTAGTCTGCATTAGCACCCCTCTAAAACTCACTCTTTCTGGGTCCCTTACCACCTACAGTTACTGAAGTATGTAAATCCTTGTTCCTGAAAACTACGACATAATCTCTCCCTGGAATCCCAGGGATGAGAAGTTCACAAACAAGTCTGAAATTATTGTCTCTGTTTGTTAATGCATTGTGTATTATATTATTTTTGATTCTGTTAAACATAGTGTTTAAAAAATGAAAATATTGCATTCAGAGCAAAAACAACCCATAAGCTTGTCTTTCTCCATCCATCTCTCTATTTTTTTTGCCAGGTCAATTGTGGGTCGCAGATTCTTTTTTATCATTGGAACTTTATACCTGTATCGCTGTATTACAATGTACGTTACTACTCTCCCTGTGCCTGGAATGCATTTCCAATGTGCTCCAAAGGTAAGCACCTCTGGATGACCCTTTAGAGGAAACCAAGAAAAGTTATTGCACGCCTGCTCTCTAGTATGCATTCTTTTACACACTTTCATATGTGTTAACTGAAGTCTAGCTTATTTTCCATTTTTCTTTAAATTAGAGGGGATTGAAATTTTCTGCATAACATCGTTTTCTTGGTCCCTAAAATTTTGTTTTCTTCTACCCATAAAGTACCACCGACTATTTAACATTCTTCCTTTTTATTACCTTCTCATTTATTTATTCATTCTTGCATTCATTCTACAAATTTTAATCTCCTGTTATGTACCAGGCATAGGGGTAATGGCAATGACCAAAACAACATCCTTCTCCTTTCAGAGTTATTTAGTAATTGACAGATGATTTTAAAAACCAAGTATACTCACAGTGTGTCAGAGGGTGATAAGCGAAGTGATCGTCAGATGGAAACAATAAAACTGAGTAAGGGTGAAAGAGAATATGAGGGTTGTTCACTATTTGAAATAGGGGTCAGAGGAGGTGGCTTTAATAAAGTATTGGCCAGGAATCAGCATGAGGGAATGGGCAGGTAGATGGGATAAGAGCTCCCAGCCAAGAAAATAGCTTCTTCATCATGGTGGGTTCCAGGAACAGAAGGGAGACCATTGTGACCGAGTGGAGTTGTGGAGGGTCCAGGTAGTGCAGATCACAGATCCCCTGGGCCTTCATCATGCACTGTAAGCACTTGAACTTTGGTGGTGGCAGTGGAGTGGTGGGGAGTTCTATTCTGAATATACTTTGAAGATAAATCAACAGGATGTGTACTCAGTGAGGTTTGAGACAAGTCAGGATAGTGCCAGAGTTTCTATCCAAAACCATTAGGAAGTCTTTTACCGAGATATGATATGAGGTTGTAGGCCCAAACTGCTTTGAGCAGTTTTTACCAGTTGTTCCAGTGAAGAATCAGTTCTGTAGGAAGCTGTGTGTTGGTTTATAAAATGGAAAGTTACAGGTCATGTGCTTTCTGGACAAGGGAATGAAGTTTAAGATGTATTTTACTGAACATACTGAACACTAAGCAGATGTCTGACGTAGAAGGAAAAATAGAATTGCTCTAAAGAAGTCAACAGTCTCTCTCACCAAATATAGGTGTGGTTTGGAGAAGCTATAATTTTCCAAAGCAATCAAAGCATAAAGTCTCTGTAACTAAAACAGTGTACATATTGGATTTAAACACTGGCTGATTTTTACTGAGACTAATTTAAGGCATTGGGAGGAGTTCAGAAACAGAATAAACACTTCTAAGGGGTGATTGTGGTGTGCTAATGGAGAAATGGCCACAGAAATGAAGGAATCTGAAAAGTGCATGAGGCTTGCAGGGATTAATTGCTATGATTACAGAAAGAAAGAAAAGAAAAGATTGTCCTCCATGAACAGTTAAGATTTTCAGAAGCCACATCAGTAAATGTGCTGCTGGATCACCAACCTACATATGTTTGCAATGGCAACTCTGAGTCTCTTACTGAAGCTTGAGCAGGCTATAGGTGCCTCTATTGTGGGCCAGTTAAAAAAAAAAAACAGGTCACTTTGTTTGAGTAGAGGTGATGTTATGTTATGGAACCAGAATTGCGTTCTAAATTTGGTTCAGGAGCTGGCTTTGAGAGCTCTTTAGACCTTTGCGTTTACAAGGCTATAATCTACCTGTCGTCTTTGTTGCTAACTCTATAGAATGCCCTTTGTGCAGATGAGCAATGACTGGCTTTATATACTGAAACCACTTGCTTTCTGAACAGAGCGTTAGACCTCATAGTTTATGGCTAATGAAACTTGTAACTTAGCAGATGTGACCACCACAAGAGCACAGTAAGTCTCAGCAGTAAGTCTCTTGGTGAAGTCCCTGACGGTCTCTCACAGTTTCTTGTTGTATTCTCCCTGGCCCATCCCATGGTTGACTTTAAATCCTTTGCTTACAATTTGGTGTAACCACCAACCCACACTTTGGTTTCCAGACACTAAACTTGTGTTCTTCAAAGTATGTTTAGATTCATTTTGACTAACTTACCAGGGCTTACATATAATCATTTAGTGCTTCAAAACCATTTTTCTACATATAAGAAATTTAAGCTGGGAGAGCTATCTACCCCTTCTCTGAAAAGGCTTCCTGGGGTAATAAGAACAAAGGCACTGTCTTTATTTATTGTAGGGACAGTGGGTGATAAGGTTTCTGGTTTGACAGCAGCCAAATTAGGCTCTCCTGTACCAGAAAAAAGATAAGACTATCTGCTCCCATAAAGATTTATAGACTTGAAAACCCTACACTGGGTCACTCACTATGGGTCAGAACTGACTAGATGGCACAACAACAAATTCTCATCTTCACTATGCTTTCTCCTTCCCAGTTTTCTTTCTATCCTTCTTTCTTTTCTTCCTTTCTTGAAGTTTTATTGAGTATTTACATGGAGATGATCTGAGACCTCAGGGTCACAGTAACAGGACTGAGGAATTAAGAATGAAAGAAAGGCAAAAAATACCAAGAGTAGGCCTTCCTATTTTATCAAGCCCTAGTGAATCAAATACTATCAAAAATGCCTGCACACCAACACTTCTGAAAGAAAGTGAGAAGAGAAATGTGTGGATTAATTTAGTTTTTCCAGTGTATACCTTTGGGTCCCAAATAAAGGGGCTGATGAAATATTAGAATGTAGATTTGGGATAAAACAAAAAAGTAATATTGAAATTTAGGATAGTATGTAGTTTTAAAACAGGGAGCACACAATAGCCAGGACAGAGCATATATCTGTATATTTAATCTTTGTTGTCAGTGGTTCATACCAACCTCATGACATCATTCCTACAGGATGTGGCTGACCTAATAAATCCTGTGACTGCTCTTTGTGATACACCGTAGGTGAAGTGTGCCTGAAGTGTGTACTACAGCTTTATCAACAGCCTTCTTGTCTTGTTAGGATATAGATCCTTTATCACCTTGTAGATTCTGCCTTTACAAGGCAGGAATCCTGGGATTTGCCATGTTGTTGTTGTTGTTGTTAAGTGCCATTGAGTCGGTTCCGACCCATAGCGACCTTGTATAGGGTTTCCGAGGGTGTAAATCTTTACGGGAGTAGAAAGCCTCATCTTTCTCCCGCGGAGCGGCTGGTAGTTTCGAACCGCTGACCTTAAGGTTCGCAGCCCGATTCGTAACCACTACGCTACCAGAGCTCCTTGCCATGTGTTTGTTAAATACTGTCTTTTGTTATTGTTAAGTGCCATTGAGTTGGTTCCAACCCATAACAACCCTGTATAGGGTTTCCAAGGAGCAGCTGGTGAGTTTGAACCTCCAACCTTGCAGTTCAAACAGATTTTGCAGTCTAGCATAACCTAAAATGCCACATTTGGAAACTCCAAAGACTGTCGATTCTAAGTAAAATACTTAGGTTTTCTTGATGTAATGTGAGGCCCCTATATTTATAATCAGCAATAGTCTTCTGGAGTCCTGGTGTATGGTGCTATAGGATAAGCACTGGGCTGCTTACCTAAAAGATCGGTGGTTCAATCCCACCAGCCTCTCCATGGAAACCCTATACAGTGCCGCCATGAGTCAAAACTGGACTTTTAAGGCAGCCTAAGGACCTCTTGTAGCGTAGTGGTTATGAATCGGGCTGTGAACCTTAAGGTCAGCAGTTCGAAACTGCCAGCTGTTTCATGGAAAAAAGATGAGGCTTTCTGCTCCTGTAAAGATTTACGGCCTTGGAAACCCTGTACAGGGTCACTATGAGTCGGAACCGACTCCATGGCACATCACCACCACCACCAACATATCCTAGTGGCACAAGAGTTGGGTTGAACTTACCCAGACACTCCTCGGGGCTAAGACTTGGCAATCTGCTCCCACAGATACACTTATTACAGTTTAGGAAACCATGTGAGACAGGCACGGGGTCTCTGAGTTGAGATCTATTCCACAACACCTCTGTATTTTTCTTCCCCTGTGTTCTATTCCTCAGTTGTTTTCTTTTTTCTTTTTCTGAGCCTATTGGACAGACCCTGTCCCTTAGACAGATGTGAGTCCCCCCATCTGGCTCACCAGCTTGTCAATATTCCAAATTCCCATGCCTGCCATTTTGACATACTCACTCTATTACTCTTTCCTGTATGCTTATATTCTAATGGAATATAACTTTTGACCATTGCCTCAAGCAATCATTGTTTCCATAGGCTAACAACTCTCATAGGAGGAGGCTTCATAACATCCAGGAAAAACTTCCGTTCACTTTCAATTCCACTTTCCATGAACGTCCTGAAGACCTCTCATCTCATCATAGTAGATCTAGGGGCCTCCATACTCTTGTCCAAGGGAGCTCTCTCCTGATCACCTACCACAGTACACACACCTATGAAAGTACTCATATTTTAAGCTGCCATTTCTTCACCAATTTACTATTTTCAAACCTATTTAAATTCTTTAATTTGTTGCAACTCCTGTTTTTAACTGTAAATATTCTAATCAGACATTTATAAAACTATGCACACCCTTTTGGTTATTCATTTAATGTGTGGAACCCATTGTTGTTGTTGTTAAGTGCCGTCAAGTCAGTTCCGACCCATAGCAACCCTGAACAGGGTTTCCGAGGCTGTAAATCTTTACGGGAGCAGAAAGCCTCATCTTTCTCCCACGGAGCAGCTGGTAGTTTCGAACTGCTAACCTTGCGGCTCGCATAAGCTGCAGAATATTGGCAATGTGCTATGCAGCAGAATCAAATATTAACCATCCAGACCCCAACTTTCTCCCTGCAAAAAAAAGAGGAGAGAAAGGAGCTTTAACCTGTATTTTAGCTCATAGCTCTGATGAAGTCATTGGTTATTAATATTTTTAAAAGCTTTGTTCAAGGACATAACACCACCAAAATATATTATTAGTAACAAGCCTGAATAATTGAAAACTTGTCAATAAAACTTGCCAATGAGATGAATAAAATCCGATTTGAGAAGCTCCCCTCTGTTCCTCACTGGAGTCGTTTCAACTTTTTAGATCCAAAAACTGAAATCACCACCTGGTGACCTTTTAGGTGTCACACAAACTAGGCTAAGACATTATTTTATCAGGTTATTAATGTCCTTTCCTGATCTTCACTTGTCATTCAGCTCAACGGGAACTCTCAGGCAAAAGTAGAACGGATTCTACGGTTGATTTCTGGTGGTGGATTGTCCATAACTGGATCACATATCTTGTGTGGAGACTTCCTCTTCAGTGGGCATACTGTTGTGCTGACACTTACTTATTTGTTCATCAAAGAATGTAAGTAATAGCTCATTCCCCTTTGATTGACGGATTGCTGCAGTGGGCGGGAACCCTAGGCCTTAAAACTGATGGGAGTCCTTGTTCTGTTGGTATTGGCATATTTATTTCCATATAAGTAGTTTGAGCACTGCAGGCTTAAAACCTGGCCCTGATCTGATGGAGGCTGGTGGAACCACAGAGACTGTGACTCTTCTACAACTCTTCACACTTGGCCTTGAACCTACCCTCCAGGGATCCCTTTCCAGACACACAGGCCAATAAAGTGAACCAGGAACACCCCCTGAGGAGCATACTCCTCTGAAGAATCAACCATGTCAGTTCCAAAGGGTAGCATTTGCCCCAACAAAGTTCAAAAGGCAGGAGAGGACAGGGAAGGATGAATGGAAATAGGAAACCTCGGGAAGAAGTAGGAAGAATGCTGTAACATTGAAGGGATTGCAACCAACATCACAAAATAAAATGTATTTCAGTGGAAAAGGAACTTGCTCTGTAAACTTTCACCCAAATCACAATTGTTTAAAAATTGATTGATTTTTTAGGAAACTGGTCTTGGCTTCTTTCTTTTATATGCCTCCAAAATTAAAAACTGCCCTATACAGGGTCATTCTGTGTCGGAACTGACTCGACAGCACTTAACAACAACAACAAAATGAAAAGCTATTTTAACATTGGAACTAAAAAGAACCTAATTGTATGTCTGTTGCAGAAAGCCACCCACCACTTAACTGTCAGTTTGCCATACTCAGGTGGCTTGTGTGTTGCTGTGATTCTGGAAGCTGTGCCATGGGTATTTTAAATACCAGCAGGGTCACCCATGGTGAACAGGTTTCAGATGAGCTTCCAGACTAAGACAGACTAGAAAGCAGGAGAGAAGAACTAGTTGTGAATATTTAGCACTGAAAACCTTATAAGTAGCAATGGAAGAACCCTGTCAGCACCAGAATATAGAATATCGAAACATGATGAAAAGCACCAGAATATTGTCATATATAGTGCCTGAAAATGAGTTCTTCAGGTTGGAAGGCACTCAAAATATGACTGAGGAAGAACTGCCTCCTCAATGTATAGCTAACCTTAGTTTGAGGACTAAAGTGTGTCTGACCCAAGCCAATGTATTTTCATTAACCTCACATGCTTGTGAAAGTTGAACAATAAATAAAGAAGACCATAGAAGAACTGATACATTTGAGCTATGGTGTTGTAGGAGGATGTTAGAAGTACTATGGACTGTCAAAACAACAAATAAATCCTCCTTGGAATAAGTACAGCCAGAATGGTCCTAAGAAGCCAGGATGGCCAGATTTCACCTCTCATACTTAGACATATTATCAGGAGGAACCAGTCCCTCGAGAAAGGACATTATGCTTGGTAAAGTGGAGGGTCAGCAAAGAAGAAGAAGATCTCCAACAAGATGGATTGGCACAGTGGCAGCAGCAATGGGCTCAAGCATATCAACAGTTGTGAGATTGGCACAAGACCAGGCATTGTTTCATTCTGTTGAGCATAAGGTCACTATGGATCAGTGCTCAATGGTACCTAAGAACAACAATAAAAACACACTAAAAGAATTGGTGCATTCTAATGCCAAAAGTAAAAGGCTTTTGGTTATTTGACACTCCCATTCTGTCATTCCAGATAAATCATAGTTAATGTGATTTCCCCTATTTTAGGCTTATATTTGTCTCACTTTATTACAATTTTATCATTTTTCCATCACTTTCTCTGCTTTAGTAGGCATCTTTGTGAGACATTTTGCCAATACCAATGATTTTCTTCTTTATCACTGTAAATATAAAGGCAAAAATGTGAACTATCTTTCCTTGTTTAATTCCTATTATATAAAATATTTTATATTTGTGGAGTTTTATATGGATAGAAGAATGCCCCATCCATTGTGGGATTGTATAGGGTCACTATGAGTCCTAATCGACTCCATGGCAATAGGTTTGGTTTAGATTATATGGTTTTAGCAACATAGCAGATCCCATTTTTGTATGTTTCTGAGGTTTTTGCATATTTAAGCCCATTACCTCAAAATCCTTTTGAAGTAGTTTTGGTGCTTCCTTCATTTCTTGTCCCACTTCAGCAATCCAACCAGGTCTAGCCTGACCTCTCATGGTAATGTGAGCATCAAAGTTTGTTTTCCAGTAGTGAATTCTTGCCCACAGATTGCTTACAGTTTTAGGCTTAAGTTCTGTTCTGAGTGTAATAAGACAAAGATTTGAAATTCTCTATAGTAGATGAAAGGAGCTCTGGTAGCGTAGTGGTTACGATTCGGGCTGCGAACCACAAGATCAGCAGTTCTAACTACCAGCTGCTCCGTGGGAGAAAGATGAGGCTTTCTGCACCCATAAAGATTTTATTTACAGCCTCGGAAACCCTGTTCAGGGTCGCTATGGGTCAGAACCAACTCGACAGCACTTGACAACAACAACAACAACAACATAGTAGATGAAGAACTCTCGGTGGGGCACTATAGGATCAGCACTGGACTGAGAACCACAGGGTCAGCAGTCCAAACCTACCATCTGCTCCTCAGAAATCCTATACAGGGTCACTATGAGTCAGAGCCAATTCTGTGGCACTTAACAACATTGTAGATGAAAGGAGCCTGGTGGCAAAGTAGTTAAGTGTTTGGCTGCTAATCAAAAGATGAGGGTTCTAAACCCAGTAGCAAGTCCAAGGAGAAATTTCAGTATTTCTAATTACTTAGTTATTGGTTCCAGATACTGTGGGGAATGATATGTGTTGTTTATGGTCTTGTCTAGCTTGTTCTCAGGAAGGTTGTTCTGTCTGTATGTAAGATGAATCATTTTCCACTCCAGAGGTGCATTTGAGATGTTAAATCTTCTCTCCAATGACAGTCACAAAAAGCTCAGTGAAGGGATAAGAAATGGTGATGAAGAAGAGTTGCTTGTTAGGGTGTAGCCACTGTGCATTGAAAACTACAGAGTAATGAAGAAAAAGCACCCCATGAAACTGAGAGTCCATTTTCTAAATTAACTGAAGTCCACGTGAGTCAGAACCAACTTCACAGCATATAACAACAACAACAACGTGATGTTAACAATAACATTAGCAAGCTGCATAAACTGGGTTTCAACTTACTTCATAGAGTTGTTTGGTGTTGTTAAGTGCCATCAAGCCAGTTCTGATTCCTAGAGACCCTTTGTAGGGTTTCCGAGGAGCAGCTGGTGAGTTTGAATCACCCACCTTGAGCTTTTGGTCGAGTGCTTATCCTACAGCGCCATTGTCATGAGTCAATCCCATATGTATCAAGTGGAACTGTGCCCCATAGGGCTTTCAGGGCTGTGACCTTTTGGAAGCAGATCAACAGGGCTGCCTTTAGAGACACCTCTAAGTGAGTTTGAACCACCAACCTTTCAACTAATAGTCTTGGGCTTAAACGTTTTTGTCACACAGGGACTCCTCTATGCCAGACAGTATTCTAAGTGCTCAAAGTGAGTTAACTCATTTAATCTTAGCAGCCATCCTGTAAGGGAAGCACTCTTTTTCATCCTGGTTTTTCAGTTGAGGAAACTGAAGCCTAGAGAACGTGAGTGGCCCAGTCAAGCTCCACACCTAGGAGGCCCTAATATTTAAACCCAAGCAGCCTGGCTATGTAGATGATGCTCTTTTGCATGTGTTGGGGGGGGGGGAGAAAGGGTTAACGTGGAGTTTTGGTGAATTAGGATTAGGGCTATGCCTAGGTCTAGACAAGGCCTAGGACTTCGTTTAGCGTTAGAATTATGGTTAGGACTAGGGCTAGTGTTAAGGGGTGAGGGTTGGGCTAGGGCAGGAGCAAGTCATCTCTGGTTCTTTATTTTCAGTCTTGTAAATTTGTTAATTTTGAATCCTTCTATATCTGGGGTGAGTAGTTCATGTGTAGTCTGAGGTTGTCGTCTGCTCTTGTTGGTTCTTTCTATCAAGAATTTCCTTTAGTATTTTTTGTAAGGTTCGTTTTTTGCTCATTTGTTTCTGTTTATCTGGAAATGTACTCATTTTGCTGTCATATTGGATGGACAATTTTGCTGTATATGTGATCCTTGGTTGGCAGTTGATTTTTGTCCCTCTCAAAGATGAGTTTCGAGAGATGTGTCTTCAAGTTTAGTAATTTGGCCTTCCATTTGTTCAGTTCTACTTCTTTGCCCTTTTGTGTATTACCTGTTTCTGAAGTCTTAGCAAGGTTTCCAGTTTTTCATTTATTTTATCAGATCATTCTTGCATTGTTTTCCTGAGTTCCCAAGGGTTTTTTGGTGTGTGTGTTTTTCCCCCCCATGTATGTGTTCTCCTTGCTTTCATTGATCTTTCTCTTAATCTGTTGAAGGTACCTAACTAGCATCTTTTTAAATTCCTTATCAAGAAAGAAGGAAAAGGTCAAAATGGATGTTAGAAGAGACATTGAAACTTACTCTCCAGCGTAGAGATGCTAAAGCAAATGGAAGAAATGAGGAGGTCCAAGAGCTGAACAGAAAATTTCAAAGATTAGCTCAAGAAGATAAAGACAAATATTACAACAAAATGTGCAAAGATCTGGAATCAGAATACCAAAAGGGAAGAACACGCTCAGAATTTCTCAAGCTGGGGGAACTGAAGAAAAAATTCAAGCCTCGACTTTTGTTATTGAAAGATTCTCTGGCAAATTATTGAATGATGCAGAAAGCATCAAAAGAAGATGGAAGGAATACACAGAGTCACTGTACCAAAAGGAAATGGTTAACGTTCAACCATTTCGAGAGGTAGCATATGATCAAGAGCCAAAGATACTGAAGGAGGAAGTCCAAGGTGCATTGAAGGAATTGACAAAGAACAAGGCACCAGGAATTGATGGAATAAAAATTTAAATCTTTCAAGAAGGTGAGGTGGCACAGGAGGCACTCACTCATCTCTGCCAAGAAATTTGGAAGACAACTATCTGGCCAACTGATTGGAAGAGATCCATATTTGTGCCCATTCCAAAGAGAGGTGATCCAACTGAATGTGGAAATCATTGGACAATCTCTTTGATATCCCATGCGAGTAAAGTTTTACTAAATGTAATACAGAAACGGCTACAATCATACATTGACAAAACTGACAGACGAGTGGTGGCCGTTTGGTTTTAAGTGGAAAATGTCACTTTAAATTTCCACAAAGAGTAGGTAAGGTTTATTAAATTTTGTAGGTTTACATAAAACATGGAAAGAATTACATTCTGTTTTTTCCAATTATTTTTGTGAGAAGTAAAATGATAATCTGTAATGCTTAACACAAATTTAACTTTATAGTTGGTTCTGAACATAAACTGTGTGTACCATGTTTATGCCTGCTTCCTATGTAATTAAGAAAAACAAATTACACCATGTACTATTCTTCTGAGTAAGTCTCTTTTCAGTGGTCTCTTTGAAGAGTTAATTTCCAGAATTAAATTCATCATGTATATATTTTTGCCGTTCTGCCCTTTGATTAGTTTGGACTCTGTCCTCGCTTGCTTTGTTGTAATGAGTAGATTTGATTTAAAGTCAGTTGTGGGAGCAGATGAACATGTAGAACCAAGACCACTTTGAAGGGTTAGTAAGAGAAGACTTTACCCAGCTGTACAAATACTATAACTGGGACCTAGGTTCCTTAAAAGCTAGCTTGGAAAAATCAGTCTTACTGTTAGTACCAAATGTTTCACTAGTGAAGCACACTTTTTTTTTAAACTTTGCTACCACACAAAATCCATAATCTCTAGCATTCTACACTGACAGTGATATTCATTAATATTTGCTGTCATTATCTTTTTTAAGCTTTGTGAATTCCAACAGATGGAATGAGTGAGAAGAGAAGGTTATCATTTTGTCATTTCTAATTCAACCAAGTTTATATTAAATCTTTTCTTTGGATCTGCAGATTCTTAAATAATGAGCAGTGGTCCCAACATGGTAACATTAATAAGGAAAGAATCCTTTTTTTTTTTTTTTTTTAAATGGGAGAGTGGAACTAGTCTAACATGACATGCATTCCTTCCCCCTACCCCTGCCCTGAAAAGTCAAAGTGTATTATATAAGATTTGAAATTATTCCTTCCCTCTCATAGTTTTTTCTCTTTCTTTCTTTCTTGTTTTCATAGACAACTGCCTTTCTTTTTGACCCCTGCTGGGGTTTATTTTCGGGGTTTTTTTGTTGTTGTTTTCAGTTGGAGGTCCCTATGTCAACCAGCCCTAGTCAGTTCCAGCCAACCTAATAAAAAGCAATTCTCTGATCTTCCTTATCAAACAACTCATCTAATGCTATGATCATCTCCCATAATGCTCATTATACCTGCTCCCAGTGGATTCCCCTGCCTACTGGGATGAGTCCTGCATGTTTTGTAGTGTCTCATTTTTGATGAGCAGTTTTTATCTTCCAATGATTTCCTGACTCTAGATGATTCTTCGTAGATTCATTAGGATATACTGTAATCATTAAATTCATCTCTGGGAATCATATTAACGTGATTATCTTTCCACTGTCCAGATTCGCCTCGTCACTTCTGGTGGTATCATTTAATCTGTTGGTTGCTGAGTGCTGCTGGAATCATCTGCATTCTTGTAGCACACGAACACTACACTGTCGACGTGATCATTGCTTATTATATCACAACACGGCTCTTCTGGTGGTACCATTCAATGGCCAATGAAAAGGTGAGAGCTCTGAAGCCCCTTGGTGGTTTGTTTCTTTGATGCAGCTAACCTCTTTTCATACAGTGGTGGTCTTAATGGGAATAACTGCTGTCACCACCCAAAGATCTGATTAGGGACAATTCACTTCATAAAATAAGAGTCTTTGCAATGTAAATGACACTGAAGGATAGAGAACAGTAGTTTGTTAATATAATTGTACTAGATTTGAAGACAGATATATGCTAAATTATAATGTAGGAACCTTCCCTATAGAAGTATTGTGGTGCTAGCAGCTAAGTAAGATACTCTCTTCGCTTAAGAAACGTACATTAATTTTTAAGAAAAGATGATCGTTATTAAAATAAAATAAATAGGCAAAATAAGTAGCTGGTGAATTACTGGATTTGGTGATATTTCTTATTGGTGTCTGCTTCTTCCTATTCCCAGATGCCCTTTTCTTTCTTGTTCCATTCTTCTTAAAGAGCGAGGTTAAATGCAGACCCTTCTGGGAGAATTTCCCTAACTCCTGCTGTCTTGCTGAGTCCCCAGGGTAGAATTATTCCTTCCATTATCTGCCTTTCCCTAGTCTTGGTGTGTGCTTACTTAAGGTTTACTTACCTTTTAGATAGTCTTGCAAATAATCTGTACCATAAAATATTTGCAGAATTGTCAAACAATTGAAATATGTCATTCCTAAAGATTCTAAATCCAGTTCTCATTTTTTGCAATACACCACCTCCTCACTAATCGATTATCTCATTATTCAGCATTTCAAATTTATGACAATAGTAAACTACTACATGACTGTTTTTGTGTATTAACAACATATGACTGACAGTAACCAATGCTGAGGAGCTAACCATGTTGGTAAGTGAGGAGTGATGGTGTTTGCTCATACAAGGGGACTTCAAAACATTTGTGGAAAAATGGAGTTGAAAGGTAGTGGAATTTCGCCACAAACATTTTGAAGCTCCCTCATACATGCCCTTTCTGTGAATTACTTTATTTCTCTGTCTACCTTCAGTCTTCTTTCTCCATCTCCCTACTTTTATACGTCTACATAGATGTCTACCAACAATACAAAAACACATAAGTTCTAGACAGTCCTTCCACGTGTTCACCTTTCTTGACTCATATGTTCCTCCTGAGTAACTCACATATCCGTTCTTGAGGCCTCCATTCTTACTGGAATTTCCAATCAAGAGTGGACAGTTACAGTGAGTCACAAAGAGTGTGGAAAAGCACTAAGTGTGTTTGCTGTGGACCAGAATGGCACCAGAATTAAGAAGCAAGGCACACACACACACACACACAATTACTGCCATATGATCAGGATTATGACTAATTAAGAAAAAAAATTAGAATATGAAAAATGTATCTAATATACTTTTTTCTTACCTTTTTCAGAACTTGAAGGTCTCTTCACAGACTAATTTCTTGTCTCGGGCATGGTGGTTCCCCATCTTTTATTTTTTTGAGAAAAATGTACAAGGCTCAATTCCTTGCTGCTTCTCCTGGCCACTATCTTGGCCTCCTGGTTGCTTTAAATCATCCTGCAAAAAGTATTCACGGGTTCAGAAGATTGGTGAAGATAATGAGAAATCTACCTGAGGAGCAAAACAAAGGCATCAGCTCTTAAACCAAAAGAGTTAGCGCTGTAACCAAAGGTATAGTTTTGTTTTTTTACTGTAGGAGAACTGACTGATAAATGAAGAAATGGACCAAATTGTGTGAAAATGATGAAAAAAAAAAAAAATGGACAGAGTATTATCCCTTGAGTTGTTTTTATTCCTTCTGAGAACTGTAATTCTCCTGCAGCTCTTCATTCATTGGTGACAAGCCCACACACTGGGATTTTACTAATGAACTTGTTAAAGAGGTGCCAAAGAACATATTATTTCTTTCCTCATTCTTTCTCCAGAAATGAGCCCCTCTACTTCAGAATGTTGTTGGAATTATTATTATATTTTTTACTCCCAAGGTCAGAAGAATGTTAATGTTTTAAATAAAGTATCTGGATCTATACAGCTACTGTACAAACAGGATAACCTAATGTTGAGAGTGATTCTCAGCATCAGGTTTATTAGTGAGGGGAAGTTGGTAAACTTCAGGTGAATTTCACCTCTACCCTTTTATTGTGGGAAAGGATAGGTTAGGGCTGGGAACGTACACTTGCTGCTACTACGCTTTCACTTTTATGTCATTTGTTTGTTTTTTTTAAACTGATTTTATTTATATAAAAAAGGATTATCTAAATAAACAAAGATGTATTTGGCATACCCCTTAGATTTTACATGTGTGTAAATATGTCACTTGAAAATCTTGATCACAGATACAAAGGAAACATGGGCTATTTCTGCTAATGAGTGAGCCTTGTGTAGACAGCTTGTGCCTGGTAAATCCGCCTCTGGCACCCCAGTGCAGCCGTTTGTGAGCACAGGCTGAAAACACACCTGTATGAACTGATGCTGGTGCCACTGGGGAACAAGCCTGCATTTCCCTCCTGGGTCTTATATCTTCATAGTTACATTGCACACTATAAAAAAACAAGATGACAGCCAAAACTTTAATGTATCCTTGCTTTTCAAGCAGATTCTAAGGACATATATACCACAATTGAACCGTTTTACTTTACCCTGTGAGGATTCCAGCACGGTGGCTTACTATAATCGGTTGGAATCAGTGTGTCTGACAGTTACAACTACATGATAAGTGGTAATTGTTTCTAAATTTCTTTGAGGTGATGCAAAAAAGGTAGATAATTTTTTTAATGACTAGATTAAAAAATTTAATGCCATTGAATCTTTTAGATGAACCTTGGCTAATTTCTTAACTGCTTAAGGTTAATTTGCAAGACTTCTTAATGACCTTAAGAAGGTTACTAAGGTTGCAAAATCAGCAACACTAGAGTGGAAGGAGGAGGTTGTTCCATTTATGTTGAAGGTGTGATGTTCCCTCCTTATAGAATGAAAAAAATCCCTAAATTATCATTATTGCCAAAAGTAGCCATTTTTAATTAAGAACACAAAGCTAAAACCCCACTGCCAACAAGTCAATTCTGACTTCAGAGTGACCCTGTAGGAGTTCTGGTATGATGCTGTGGGTTAATATGCTAGACCCCAAGGCATAGTTTGAATTGCAGAGTTGGCGGTTCAAACTCACCATCTGCTCCTCAAACCCTATACAACTTCATGTGAGTGGAAACAACAACATGGCACTTAACAACAAGTGACCCTGTAGGGCAGAAGAGAACTAGCCTATAGGGTTTCCAAGGCTGTAATCTTTATGGAAGCAGACTGCTACATCTTTCTCCCATGATGTGGCCGAAGGATTCAAACCTGCTGACTATTTGGTTAGGAGCTGAGTGCTTTAACACTGCACCACTAGGTCTTATATACATAAAATTGACTTTTAAATTGTTTGAGAAAAGCACAATACAAATCCATTCAGAAGCGTCATCATTCTTTGGTGCTATACATTCTGTGGATGTTTTCAGTGTGGCTTGCTCTTTGTGTAGTAGAAGAATGAATAATTAAAGTTAAGGATAGTTAGATTCAGCCAGAAAGACCCCAGTCTGATTATTTAAAATAAAAACAGAAAACTTAAACATCATTGGCAGGCTTTAAAACGCAAGGATTTTTCTGATACTTATTATTAAATAAATATATATTAAATATATCTACTGGTAGCGTAGTGGTTACGAATGGGGATGCTAACCTCAACCTTGGCAGTTCAAAACTACTAGCCATTCCACGGGAGAAAGATGAGACTTTCTTCTCCCGTAAAGATTTACAGCCTCGGAAACCCTGTGCAGGGTCACTATGAGTCGGAACCGACTCCACGGTACTTACCAAGAACAACAACAACAGCCTGCTTAATGTGTCTAACCATAATTTCACGTCATTTCCATTTGTTCCTTTCTATACAAATCGGGCTGCTAACCGCAAGGTCAGCATTTCGAAACTACCAGCTGTTCCGCAGGAGAAAGATGAGGCTTTCTGCTCCCATAAAGATTTATAGCCTCAGAAACCCTGTACAAGGTCTCTATGAGTAGGAACTGACTCCACGGCACATAACAACAACAACGTTTACTAAGTATTGACACTTGTGATAAAACAAGGTCGCCTGGAAAACACTTTGACTTACAATCCCTTATAAGGGGAAAGTTTTGTCTCTGAAGCCTGGGTTTTGCCCTCCTGTTAGGGTGTTTTTCTGGAACTTCTGATTTTTAATAAAAGTTTAGTGTACCCTTAAGCCTTATTCAACTGGGTTTTTTTGATAAACGCCTTTTTTTTCCCCCCCTGTTAAATAAGGAAAACTGTTTAAGGTTCAAAACTCTTTGTGTATTGATTTACTTAGTCTAGTGACTCCATTTTCAAAACATACCATCACCTTTTAAAGAACTTTTCAAACACGTACGACCCTTTGTACATGTCATAGTTGTCACCTGTGCTGAGAAAACATGTTATCTGAAAATCATCCAGGGCACACAAAAATCAAGATGGGAAATAAAAATAATGAGCTGATTAACATTTAAGATTTAATCCAACATGCCACTTTGAAATCATAAAACACAGGCACTTACGATCTTTCCTTTGAAACAGTAAAATTTTGGAACTCCTTTTCAGGTCTTTATCAATTAAGTTATAAGCAAGGTCATAGCCATTATCTGTGTTTGTAAACCAGTGCACCTGTTGAAGCTTTTCCTGTAATTTAGTCCTTATGTGAAATACTGAAACATACAGTTCCTATAAATTATGCCACATTTTAACAAAGTATACTTAAACATACATATAATTGAGTTCCTCTCAGATTCTGTTTTTTGAGCTCCTCTGTTAGCTTTGAAAATACAACATTATTTCACTAGTTCAGCCTGAGGTAATTGTGAATTTGTACTTTAATTGACTGGTATCTTGGGGAACATGTTTGTCTGTGAACGAAGACTGGCTGGGGAGTGAACCAGTCTGGTTTATGGATGACTTGGCATAGGCTTCTTTGCTGTATACTAGTGCCCTCTTGTGGAAATCTATTACATGAATTGTTTTAGTACATTGAACTTGGGACCGCACACTTTCCTTTTTTTTTAAAGTATGTTTTCAAGTTTTCAAAAGGTTTTTGATTTATTATTTTTGCCAATCTGACTCTATAATGGGAAAGGAATTGTTTTAAAAGTTGTTTTAGGCCTTTTCTAAGTGGAAACATGTGCTCAGATTTAGAGGACGTTGTAATGCTATTCTTTTTTTCCTTGAGCAAAGAAAATTTGTAGGATATTTTGACCTCTCATGATCACAATCATTATGCCTCTCTTTATAACTACCTACACTTGACTCTCTGACTACCTAAACTATGTTTTCTTTAAAACACCAACTTAGCTGTCTTCCTTACCTTTTTTGTTTTTTCTTTTTTTAGCATACTAGAACTCATGAAGTTTTGGTTTTAATTCAAGGTTCACAGCTTCTTTTTTGAAATTTTTTGTACTTTTTTAATGTTATTTTTCATTTGTTTATTTTTGTTTTATTTTGCATTGTAAAAGTTATTATAAGTTGAAACCAATCTTAACACAATCACCTCTGTAGTTTAAGGAAGGATAAGAAAGAATTTCTTAATAAATGAGTTTACATGATTAAACCAGGTATATTATAAGTAATGGAGTCCTGGTGTGGCACTGTAGGATAAGCACTGGACTGCTAACTGCAAAGTCAGTGGTTCAAACCCACCAGCTGCTCATTGGGAATGCTATACAGGGGTGCTATGAGGCAGAATCGACTCAGAAGCACTTAACAACTACAATTATAAGTGATATGCCACCTAGTGAAGGCTTTTCTATTTGTATGTATAAAGATTTCTTGGTTTTTTTATGTTGTTTTTTTTTTTCTTAATGACATTGTATTGCAGCATTAAGTCATTTGGCTAAATTGCTAGAAATGTTTCAACTATTAAGTGCTCTTGACTTTACCCAAACACTGAAAATCATATCAAAGGTACCCAAAGATAAGTTTGTATACAGTTATATACATCTTACAAGTTCTGATTTATTTTATATTACTCATTAATTTAACTATGCTTTGTTATAAATGAATCTTGAATAAGAATTATTCATTGTAGTGTTGTTATTTAAAATTGTACTTTAAAAGAAGAAACTATAAACTAATCTAGTTACCAAGTGGGACTTCATTATTTCATTTACCTCCTCCTATGCAATGATTAATGCTGCGAAGTGTACGGTTATGTTACAGTATATTCACAAAAGAAATGTAAGTACAAAGTTTCAGAGGTAGCAAATTACATTCTTTTGGAAATTTACTGTACTATTTCAATGTGTTAAAGTGCCTTGTTGTAAAGTAAAATTTTAAGTCTAGAATCCATTATTTTCCTGACTTAAATATTTTTCATTTTGATATATACTATATGCTGTTATAATAGTTTTATTATTAAATGCTTACGTTTTAATCAAGTATATAAGTTTCAGAAGTCTTTTCCTCCTACTCATGAGTATCGTAATTGTTTGTCTGTCCTGGGATTTGAATTCGATTCTTGTTTTAAAAAAAGAAGAGATTATCTTTGCTTAAGAATACATATTCCATGCTCATGCTTTTGTTTTTGTACACACATTTCGGGAAGAATTTAGGAGTGTGGCTATAGTTTAAACTTCTAAGATTCCAACATTTTACATTTACATTTTAAGTACCTAATTGTTAACAAAAACTAATTTTATTTTCTAAAAAAGACATTTGTACTTCATTTCTAACTAATATCTTTAGTTTTGCTTTAAAAAATAATAAAAGAATCTATACTTTGTGTTTATCCAATAAACCACCATCACAACAGTCTTTTCAAAGTTAGTATTACTGTTTTTTTCTATTTAAAAGATGTGGGGTCTTATTTTTTGTTTTTCAAGATTTCTTAAATTTATTAACGTTTGGAGTACTTATTAAAGTTATACAAGAGTTGCATTCTTCAAATGTTATTTGTAAAACAAGGTTATATATAACCCTCAGTGAGTGGAGCCGACAGTAAATAGTGTGTG